TTGATGATACATAGAAAGATAGATAAATCATAGATAGATATAGATGATAGATAGATGATAGATGATAGAGATGATAGATGATGATAGATCATAGATAGATCATAGATAGATACATAGATAGATGATAGATAGATGATAGATAGATAGATGATAGATAATACATAGATAGATAATAGATAGATGATAGATATATAGATGATAGATAATAGATAGATGATAGATAGATGATAGATATAGATAGATAGATGATAGAAAGATGATAGATGATAGATAGATACATAGATAGATGATAGATAGATAGAGGAGAGATAGATAGACAAATAGATAGATAGATGATAGATAGATAATAGATAGATGATAGATAGATGAGAGATAGATGAGAGATAGGTAATAGATTATAGGCAGATAAATAAATGATAGATGACAAATAGATAGATAAAAAGATGATAGATATTATAGATAGATAGATAAGATAGATGGTACATAGATGATAGATAGATGATAGACAGACAGATAGATGATAGGTAGGTAGCTAGATAGATAATATGTAGATAATAGATAGATAGATAGATAGATAGATGACAGACAGATTGATTGACTGATAGATGGATACATTGATTGACTGATAGATGGATAGATCGATTGATAGATAGCCAGATACATGCATTCATGGGTAGATAGATGGATGGATGGATAGATGATTGATTGGGAGATAGATACATAGATAGATAGGTAGATACATACATAGCCAGATGCATGCATCCATGCATGGATGGATAGATGATTGTGATTGATACATAAATGACAGATAGCCAGATGCATCCATGGATGTGTGGAACGCATAGATGATCAATTGATACGTACATAGATGCATGGTTGATAGACACACGCATCCATCGTTAATAGATAGATGATGAAAGAATAATCAATGATAGATGATTAGTATATACGTGATAGACAGATGATAGATTGATGACAGACGGATGGAATCCAGGATGGCAGAATAAATATGCTGATGATTGATGTCGATATCAACGTTAGAATATTTGTATATTACTTCCAAATGTTCATGCGGTATGTAGAGTATCCGCGTATACGAAATTAAAAGTCCAAGAGCTATAAGGGAACCCAGAGCAGCAGGGACAGCGTTTCAGCACGTCAACGGTGCAAAGGTGCCCGTGAAAAACCCCGATCAAGGCTCCCACGTCAACCCCTAACATGTGTAAAGTTAAGACCCCGGCTCTGCTGTGTCCTTTAAGGCTGACGTTCCGGGACCGTGTTTCCTAGCAGGGAAGGAGCACGGTTTTCCCAGCGTCCTGCTTCGGAGCAGAGATGGGTCTAGCCTGGGATTTCTGGCATGATTCTCCCTCTCTTCCTGGTCCTGGAGCCTGCTGTGTGTGATTGTCTGTCCAGCTACATGAAGGATGCATGAGAAAATTTACGCGTGTGCGGGTGTGTGCATGTATGTTCATGCGTGTGTGTGTGTGTGTGTGTTCCCAGCTCTGGGATTCCAACACAGGGCACTCTGAGATGTGGGGAGATGACCCCTCCCTGATCCCTCCTCGAAAGCTCAGAGCATCAGCATTTACTGACAGCTGCTCCACTGGGCTGAAAGCATTCTAGTCACTAAAGACCCAGCTGAAACTTAAATAATAATAAAAAAATAATAATAAAATAAAATGATAAAAACTAAAATAATAAATAAAATAAAACACAATAAAACATAAAGTCATAAAATAATAAAAGAAAATGTAAAATATTAAAATAATAAAATAAAATGTAAAATAATAAAAGAAAATAAAAGAAAAAATATGAAGTGATAAAATAAAATATAAAATAATAAAATAGTAAAAGAAAATGTAAACTAAAATAATAAAATACAATCAAGCAGCCAGCGTTAGAGAACTGTTCACTGCAGTGAGATGGATTTCCCAGACATTAAAAGTCGCCAGTGGATTGACCCACGAGGTCCCAGCGGGGAGGGGGCTGTGGAGGCCTCAGCCGACCCATCCCTTTAACCCCGAGCTGTTTGTCTTTCTGCCCCTGCCTGACCGGTGGACAGTTTTTGCAATCCTGCAGGAAGTGCCTGCTGGCTTCGCGGGAACCTGCCGGAACCGGTTCACACCGGGTGTATGCGGCGGCTTCTGGCCTGGTTTTCAACCACCCACAGAGCAGGCAGGTCCCACAGAAGGCAGAACAGGCCTCTGCGCGTCCACAAAACATAGAAAAGCTGTTTACAGGACGGGGAGCCGGCTCAGCAGGAACTTCACAGCACAGGACCCGGGTTCGAGTCCCGGCACCCAGCCGGCCGCTAACAACCGTCCTTAACTCCCCTTCCAGGGGCTCCGACGCCCTCTTCTGACCTCCGCGGGCATCGCGTGACACAGGAACATTGACACATGTGTGGGCCATACACGCGTACACATAAAATAACATAAAAATAAAATGTTCATACATTAAATATTGGCATGTGGAACAGGAAGCTGATTGGCCACTTTCCCTTCCTTCTCAGAAAGCAGAGAGGAAACAGGAAGCAGGTGGGGCTAGAAAGCCTCAAGCCCCTCCCACACTGCCCCACTTACTACAGCAAGGCCACGCCTCCCAAAGGCCCCGCCCCCCAAAGGCCGCACCTCCCAAAGGCCCCGCCTCCGAAGGCCCCGCCTCCCAAAGGCCGCACCTCCCAAACGCCCCGCCTCCCAAAGGCCCCGCCTCCCAAAGGCCCCGCCTCCTAAATGTTCCACACTCGTCCCCGCAGCATCCTTAGCCGAAGGCCGAGGGTTCCAACACAAGCCTGTGGGGCACGCGTGTGCTTCAACCACAACCATCCTTAAAGGCGACTTCCGCTGGTAGAAATACTACACTCTTGGCTTCCAGGAGAAATGGTCACGGCTGCACCCGACGTTGAAAAGTGTCTCCAGCTCGCGGCCTCCCAACCCAACTGCACCTTCAGGTCAGCCTGAGATATGAGCAGAAGCCTTCAAATTCGACTCCATGTGCGCGCATGTGTGTGCGTGAGTGTGTGTGTGTGTGCGTGTGTGCAACGAGATTGATTTCTAACATCACACCTGGATAACGACGTGAAAAAAGTTTGAGAACCACCCTTCCGTTCATGTGTTTCATCCCGCCTTCCGTACATACATCCATCAGCCCATTCATCCCCCATCCATCTTTGCAAGCATCCATTGATCAATCCATTCACCCGTCCACCCATCCGTCATCACCAACACCATCATCATCATGAACTTCCATCATCCACCATCACCACCACCACCACCACATCATCATCCATCATTATAATCCTCCTCCTCTTCCTCCGTCGTCGTCATCATAATCATCTATCACTATCCATAACCACCATCTATCCTCACAATCACCCATCATCACCATAATCATCCACCACCGTCTCCATCATGGTTATCAGCCCTCATCATCCTCTATCATCACCATCATCATCCATCTCTCTACCCACGCACCCAAGCACAGCCTTTCGATCTGTCCACGTCTCCGTTCACTGGAAGATCCAGCCGGGTGTGATGCGCACACTTTAATCCCAGCCCTCGCAGATCGCTGTGCTATTGGGGCCAGCCTGGTCTACCCGGTCCACAGAGCTCCCCAAACCAGGGATTTTCAAAGACAGTTTGAGACAAACACGCTTGGGTCTAAAATCAGGGGGTGGCACCTCCCCTTCCAGAGCACTCAAATACCATGGACACTCAGTAGGACCGCAGGAGCGCTTATGGCCGTGATGAACCGCAGAGAGCGCGAGGAGGTGGAGCGGCCGAGTGGCTCCCCAAGGTCGGCTGCGGGGCGTAGCAGGGCTGTGGGTGGGTCCCCGGGTCCCAAATATTGATGCGCTTCGAACCTCTGTGAAGCAAAGTCTCCTCCAGCCCTCGAAACACACTTCCAGAAACACGGATGTTATTGCCCCCGCGTTTCCTGTTTTATTTCCCTCCGGGGAACAACGTATGTGAAGATGTGCAATATGATGACACGGCCCTGAGTTTTTTCGAAAATACGATTTTATTGTCAAATATACAGAATATTGACCTGTCGGCTGCGGGGCGTAGCAGGGCTGTGGGTGGGTCCCCGGGTCCCAAATATTGATGCGCTTCGAACCTCTGTGAAGCAAAGTCTCCTCCAGCCCTTGAAACGCACTTCCAGAAACACGGATGTTATTGCCCCCACGTTTCCTGTTTTATTTCCCTCCGGGGAACAACGTATGTGAAGATGTGCAATATGATGACACGGCCCTGAGTTTTTTCGAAAATACGATTTTATTGTCAAATATACAGAATATTGACCTTTAGAAAAAATACAATGACGCGGCCACGGACACAGCAGCTGTTCTTCTGTCCAAAAAATACCCAACCGTCACCACAGCGGAAGGGGGACACAAAGTTTGGACCTGGAAACAAGTTAACGGAAGATGGTGGGATGAGTTCCTAGGAAATTTTAGGAGTTGTTGGAACATTCTAGAAAATTGTAGAAGATTTCGGGCAGATTCTAGAAGATTCCCACAACATGCTAGATGATTCCAGAAAATGGTAGGTTCCAGAAGATTCTGGAAAATTGTAGACAATTCCAGAAGATTCTGAAATACCGTAGAAAATGATAGGAGATTCCAAAGATTCCAGAAAACGGAAGATTCTAGAAGATTCTGGAAGATTCTCAAAAGTTGTACAAGTTTCTGGAAGATTATTTTAAAAAACTGTAGCTGGTTCCAGAAGATGCTGGAAGATTCTAGGAAATTGTAAAATGATTTTGGGAGATTCTAAAACAATTGTAGGAGGTCACAGAATACTCGGGGAGATTCTAAACAGCAGAAAAAATAGATTCTAGAAGATTCTACAAAACTTAAACTTTCTGGAAGATTCTAGAAAATTATATGATTCTCAGGGAATTCTAGAACATCCACAAAGTTTCTGGAAGGTTATAAAAAAATTTGAAGAAGATTCCAGAACATTCTGGATGATTCTATAAAATTGTAGAAAATTCTGGAAGATTCCAGAAAATGATAAAATGCTTTTGAGAGATTCTAAAATAATTGTAGGAGGTTCCAGAATATTCAGGGAGATTCTAAAAACCAAAAAAACTAGATTCCAGAAGATTCTGGAAGATTCTACAAAACCCTAAAAACTTCCTGGAAGATTCTAGAAAACGGTAGAAGAGTCTAGAAAACTGTAAACATTTCTAGAACATTCCAGAAAACTGTAGGTTCCAGAACTTTCTGGAGGATTCTAGAAAATGGTAGACGATTCCAGAAAACTGCAACCATTTCTAGAAAATTCCAGAAAATTGTAGATTCCAGAATCTTCTGGAAGATTCTAGAAAATTCTAAGAGCTTCTGGGTGTAGTCTAAAAAGTTGTAGAAGTTTCTAGAAGATTCTACAAAACTGGAGAGTGCAGAAGATTCTGGAAGGTTCCAGAACTTTCTGGAAGAGTCCAGATTTAGCTTTGTGGACAGCCCTGACTCCTTTTTCGCCCCTTCCCTTTCTAACCTCTTCAGAAATCCCAATTTTCGGGAAATGCGACCCCCGAGTGTCTCCCTCCCGCTCCTTGTGAGGTCCACGGGAAAATGACACAGAAAGGGGTGATGGGAATTGGCAACATACTCTGCCCTGAACCGCGTCACCGTATCCACTGTCACGGACCCAAGTCTTGTAAAGACCAATAATTTACGACTTTTCATCAGGCTGAAAGAATTGCTGTCTCTGGACCCCGTGTCGGCTTCCAAACAAACACGCAGACATTTACAAATCGGGACCTGGAAAGCACGTGTAAGGCTAACGTTGCATTATGGGAAAAGTGAAGCTGATTACCGGCAGTGCTGTGTGCAACCTAAGGCTTATTTCAGGAGGACATTCCCCTCAAGTAAAATAACTATTTTTTATTTTTTTGCACCGAGCTCCAAAAGTGCTGGGAATTCGAAAGACCCAAATTCTTCGTGAATCCTGGGAGATTCCCACAAGCGCTCTGAAAACGTCGTCCCCGTGTCAGTACACATGTATGTAACTCGTTTTCACATCCACACCTAGTATGTTCTTGGCGGTACACCTGTACAAACCAGCATCCCCGTGTGAGGCGTGCTGGATGCTCAAGGACCCCTGCGGATGCAGGTACCGGTTTCCGTGGAGCCGAGCCTGGGCCCCCGCCGTCAGGCGAGACTTGTCCGGAAGTTCCCAGCTGATTTCCGGTTTGGGAATCCCCATGGCGAGGCAATTCAGCTTCACGGTGTTTCCGGGCCGGATGTAGATGACGGGCGTGGCCTCGCTGGTGATGCGTGGAGGGTAGGCAATCACGATGACGGGGACGCTCGTCACGACCGGATCGGACCGGCTGTCCGCCTTGCACACGTATGTGCCCCGGTCAAACACGGAAACCCGCTGGACGGTGAGCGTGCCGTCGTCTGAGATGGAAACCCGGCCCCGGCTTTGGGAAGCTTCTAGGATCATCCCGTTGGGCAGAGTCCAGGAAACATGGCTGTGGGGACCCTTGGAGCCCGGGCAGGGCAGGAGCAGAGTCTCCCCATGGACGACGCTCAGCACGTTCGGGTGATGCTTGCTGACATCTGGTGCGATCACTTCCGGTTTCCTGACTTCCGGTTTGACCACTCCCAGTGTTCTGACTTCCGGCGTGAGCCCCACTTTGAGGATCACGAGCCTCTCGCTGTGACCAGCCGTATTTCCGGCCACGCAGCGGTACGTCCCGGCGTCCGCGGCTGCCAGCCGGCTGATGTGCAGCATCCCATCGCGCTTGTGGAAGAAGCGATGTAGGTGCTGTCCGCCGTGCAACTCGGTACCGTTGGGGAGCACCCAGGAGAGGGTGGGTGGCGGACTTCCAGAGGCTGAGCAGTTGAGGCTGATGGTGTGGCCGGGCGAGGCGGTGATCGGCTCGTGGATCAGCTGATGGAAGACGGGCTTGATGACTGAGTCCAGCACCCTGAGGCGCACGGTCATCCGGGCCTCCCCACCTTCATTGCGTGCGATGCACTGCAGCTCCATGGAGTCACTCTTCCTCACGCTCCGGAAATCCAGGGTGCCGTTGCCGTGCACCACAACGCGGTTGCCATGGTAAGGTGCCGGGAGGATGACGCCTCCTGGAAACGCCCACAAGACGGTGGGCATTGGGATCCCTTCCGCTCGGCAATTGATTAGTTTCCTGGTTCCCTCAGCCGCCGTCTCATGCACGATGCTGCTGACGTCACTCTGCCTGGTGCTGATGTCACTCCTCCCGCTGCTGACGTCACTCTGCCTGGTGCTGACGTCACTCCTCCCGCTGCTGACGTCACTCCTCCCACTGCTGACGTCACTCCTCCCGCTGCTGACGTCACTCCTCCCGCTGACGTCACTCCTCCCGCCGCTGACGTCACTTGGTCTCCGGATGCTGGGTGGGCGGACCTGGACCTGGATCCACACGGTCTTCCGGTCCTCCCCTGCGCTGCTGCGTGTGGAGCACGTGTAGTTCCCGCTGTCCGAACGCTGAGCCTTGTGGATGAGCAGCGTGCCGTGTGCATCCACCTGGTGTTTGTCGGAGGACACGGGGATCTGCCTGTTCGTGGGCGACCACCACGTCACCTTGGCGCCCGGGTGTCCAAGGGGTCGGCAGGGCACGGTGACCTTGTCCCCGTAGCGCACCTGCAGCACCGAGTAGGTGTTCTGGGTCACGGAGGGCTCGGCCACCACCTGGACGTTCTGGATAAACGGGGTCTTTGCCAGGATCTGTGAGTTCCTCATAACCGGGGTGCCGGCTGTCACCTCTGTGTCCTGGATAACCGGAGCCCCGGCCACCACCTTCCTGTTCTGGAAAACTGGGGTCTCAGCCACAACCTTTGGGTTCTGGATAAGCAGAGTGTTGGCCGTGACCTCCGAGTTCCGGCTACCCGGGGACTCGGCCATCACCTTCCCGTTTCGGATAACTGGAGGCTGGGTCGTGACCTCTGGGTTCCGGATAAATGGGAGTCGGGCGATGACCTCCTCCTTCTGGGCGACCGGGGGCTCCGCCACGGCCCCCGGGTTCTGGACAACGGGGGACCCCGCTGTCATCTTCCCCTCCCGGGTAATCGGGGGCTCAGCCATGACCTTGACCCGCACCCGCATCTGGTCTTTGCCCATCCGGTTCTCGGCGAAGCACGTGTAGTCGCCCTCCTCCCCGGCCCCCACCTCGTTGAAGTACAGAGTCCCGTTGTTGAACACCACGTAGCGCTTGCTGCGTCCCCAGCCGACGTCGCCCTGCAGCACTGGGTGCAGCACCCGGCCATCCGGCAGGCCCCAGGAGATGTCGGGGTCCGGCAGCCCCGTGGCCACGCAGTCCACCTGCAGGGTACCGCCCTGCAGGACCCGGTGGTCGTTGCTCTCCTTGCGCTCGATCTTGGCGGCCTTCGTGACCACGTTGACCTTCAGGACGGCGTAGTCGTCCCCGGCCTTGTCCCTGGCCACGCACAGGTAGTCGCCCGCATCCTGCTCGGTGACCGACTGGATGACCAGGGTCCCGTTGCTGAACACCTGGACCCGGCTGTCGAAGCTGCCGGAAGAAAAAGGGTTCGATAAACACTCTGGGTCCTTGGGCTCAGGCTGGACACGTGGGGTGCTTGTAGCTTAGTGGGTAGAATACTTATAGTTCAGGGGCTACAGTGCTTGCCGCTCAGTGGGTAGAGTGCTTGTAGCTCAGTGGTTAGAGTACTTGTAGCTCAGGACATAGAGTGCTTGTGACTAAGTGACTACACTGCTTGTAGCTCAGTGGGCAGAGTACTCGTAGCTGAACGTATAGAATTTGTAGCTCAATAGGTAGAGTGCTTGTAGCTTACTGAGAGCAGTGCTCGCATCTTAGTGGGTAGAGTATTTGTAGGTTAGTGGGCAGAGTGCTTGTGCTTCGGTGGGTAGAGTGCTTTGTAGCTCCTGCCTACAGGGATTGTGGGTCAGTGGTAGACTGCTTCTTTTTCAGTGGAGTGCTTGTAGCTCAGTGGGTGAAGTGCTTAAACTCAGTGAGTAGAGCGTTTGTAGCTCTCTGGATAGAGGCCTTATAGATCAGTGGGAAGAGTGCTTGTAGCTAAGTGGGCACAGTGCTTCTAGTTCAGTGGATAGAGTGCTTGTAGCTCAGTGGGTAGAGTGCTTGCTGCTCAGTGTGTAGAGTGATTGTAGCCCACAGGGTAGAATATTTCTACTTCACTGAGTTGAGTGCCTATTACTCAGTGGGCAGACAACTTGTGGTTCGATAGGCAGAGTGCTTGTGCCCAGTTGGCATAGTACTTGTACGTCAGCTGGCAGAGTGATTGTGACTCAGTGGATAGAGGGCTTGTAGGGCAATAGGTAAGACTGCCTGTGGCTCAGTAGGTAGAGTGCTTCTAACTGAGTCAAATGCCAGTAGCTTAGTGACTAGTGGGTTTGTTGGGGCTCAATAGATACAGTACTTGCAGGAAAGCGGAGACAGTGCTTATTGCTCAGTAGGTAGAGTGCTTGTAGCTCAATTGTCAGAGTGTTAGTCTCACGTGCACAAAGCCCTGGGTGCCCGCACAGCACTGCACTAACGTCTGGTACTGGTGAGGCCAGGCTAGGTACTGCACTTGGTCACTCTGGCCCTAGGGGGGTGGAGGCTGACATCCTTGGTCGCCCCAGTCCATCTTGACCGTGGGGCTAGCCTGGGCTACCTGAGAACCCATCTCTGTGGAAAAGTAATTCCAAGTCGTCTGGGGTGTGAGGACCCAGTTCCCTTCCCCTCCCTCCTCCCTTGCATCCAAGATGGCCGACTTCCGGTTCTTGACCCCTGTAGCCAAGATGGCCGGCCTCTGGCCCTCCCAGGGCAGATGGCCGACTTCCGGTTCCGGTGCAAAGGTGCCATTTTGGCGGGAATTTCAAATTTCCTGCATTTGCTCGACCCAGTCAGCTTCCTGCCATCACAGGAGGGAAGCATGAGCTTCCCGTTTCCCACCTGGACGAGTTCAGGGCGGAAACCGGAATCCTGACAAACCCCACCTGAGTCTCCAGGGGGATGGGGCGGATTCCAGCTCCGGCCCGTCCCCCTGCAGGGCGTCTTTGCACCCCGCCCCTGCGCCTGCATCTCCTCACACACCTGTTTTGGAAGTTGCATCTCCGCATGCGCATGCACCTGAAACCGCATGCCCGGCTCCCCTAGTGCACGCACCTGAGGCGAGGGTCCAACAGGCGCTTGGACGGCAGCCTCCAGAGGACGCGGGGCCCAGGATGTCCACTGGCCCCGCAGTGCAGGTGCAGCCGGGCTCCGTAGGGCACATCGGTGCTGCGCCGAGTCTCCCCGGTGCTGTGCACGGTGGTGCGGGTGGTGTGCAGAGTTGTGCTGGTGCCGTGCAGGGTCCCTGGGGTGGTGGCCAGGGTGCTGTGTGGAGTCTCACGGGTGCCGTGCACGGTGCTCTCCGCGCTCTGCACACGGAGCCGGACGGTCCTGCGGGCCCAGCCCAGGGCGTTGGCGGCCTCGCAGTCGTAGCGCCCGGTGTCTTGGGGCCCCAGGTCCCGGATGTAGAGAGTTCCGTTGGGGAAGAGGAAGAGCTTCCGGCCCAGCACCTGCGATGGCCGTATGTGCACTCGGCCCGGAAGCACCCAGCGCAGCGAGGCCGGGGGAGCGGCTCGCACAGAGCAGTGCAGCAGCGCGTCCCTTCCGGCCTCGAGCTCCAGCATCTCCGCGCGCGCCTGGAGCATGACGGGAGGCAGCGCGGCCACGTGCACGCGCAGGGACGTGCGGTCCGTGCCCGCTGCGCTGCTGGCCACGCACTGGTACACGCCACGGTCCGCCGACGTCACCCCGCGGAGGCTCAGGGTGCTCTCGGCTGATGTCATAACGTGGCGATTCTGCATGCTGTGGGGTGACGTCATGGCGCGGAGGCTCAACGTGTCATCAGGCAGCGTCGCGTCTCCAACGACTGGTGTGCTGGCCGGTGACGTCACAGCTCGAAGATTCGGTGGCCTGTCGGCTGGTGGCACGTCGAGGCGGCTCAGAGTCCTCTGTGATGATGTGACGTCACGGCGGCTCATCCTCCTGTTGGCTGACGTCAAGTCACGAAGCCGCAGCCTCCTGTCACCTGACCTCACGTCGGGGAGGCGCAGCGTGCTGTCGGATGAGCTCATGTCACGCACATGCAGCGTGCTGCTGTCGGATGATGTCATGGTGAGGAGGCTCAGCTTGTCATTTGATGTCACATCTCGGATGCCCAGCGTGCCGTTCCCGTCCCCGGGGGTCGCAGAGCTCTGCACCGACCCGTCCGGCAGGATCCAGGCGAGGTGGGGTACTGGGTTCCCCTGCGCCAAGCACCGCAGGGACAGCGAGTCCCCCAGGTAGACTGTGACGTCGTGTGCAGCCCAGGGCAGGATGCGCGGCGGCTGCGCGGACACGGTGAGGAGGACGAGTGTGGATGCCAGGCCGTGCAGGTTGCGCGCCGAGCACTCGAACTGGCCGTGGTCCTGCGGCTGCACCCGGCGGATCACCAAGGACCCATTCCGCAGCACCTCGAAGCGCTGCAGCCGCGTGTGGGGAGTCAGTAGCGCCCCTGGAGGGGGGGAGACATAGACACGGAGGAAGTCAGACGAGCCAGACACCACCGACTCACCAAAACCAGCACCCGTGGGGCAGACGGCACCAGGCTAGCCCTCCTCACCCCGAGGCTACCCTCCTTGTCCCATCTACGCCACGAGCCACATAAGGAAAGAGCACAGGACGCAAACAGCACGGTGGGTTGTGGGATTTGCAAGTTTGAGACCCGGTTGGCCCAGGATAACCTGGAAGGCACAGGGTGAAGGGAGCTCTCTCCCGCCGCCCCCAGCTATAAGGACTGGGATGGGGTTCAGCACTGAGTATGGCGATTGGGGTAGAAGACAGGACTGTGCAGTGAGGAAAGCACTCTATCCACTGGTCTACAAGCACTGCGTCCACCGAGATACAAGCACTCTGCCTACTGAGCTACAAGCGCTCTACCCACTAAGCTACAAGCACTCTACCCACTGGGCTACAAGCACTGTGTCAACTGACATGCAAAAACCCTACCCACTGGGCAACAAGCACTCTACACACTGGAATAGAAGCACTGTATCCACTGACCAGCAAGCACTGTATCCACTGGACTGCAAGCACTCTCCCCACTGAGCTACGAGCACTGTATCCCCTGGGCTACAAGCACTGTGTCCACTTAGATACAAGCACTCTGCCCACTGAGCAACAAGCACTCTACCTGGTGACAGACATACTCCATAAATATTTAGAAATACACACATATAGAAATATAATCATAGGGATGCATATATTATGTAACATGTACCATTTGTACATGTACAAATATAGGGTACATGGATTTACATGTGATAAATAGTATTTATTACATATTTAAATATCATATAGAGAAATATGCGGAAAATGTCCATTATTTACTTATATACAGGAATCAGTACGCTAAGTCTAGATACTGGATATATCGATGTAGATATTTGATATGTTAAGATATTTATATAGACATTCTATAAATGCATAGCTGTGTGAAATATCTAAATATATTCAGAAACATACATGTACAGATATGTAATGCAGAGAGACACATAATAGAGCTGTATGTAACATGCATTTAGAGGCATGTAATATATATTATATGATATAATATGTATATAGGATTTATTTATATACCATGTAATTATACTATTTAACGTACATCTGTGTACTACACACAAATACGTAGATATCAGCCGGGTCCGTGGTGGTGCACGCCTTTGATCCCAGCACTCGGGAGGCAGAGGCAGGCGGATCTGTGTGAGTCCGAGGCCAGCCTGGTCTACGTGGCGAGTTCTGACTTCTAGGCCAGCTGGGGCTACAGGGACACCCTGCTTCAAAATGACAAAAATAACAAGAACAACCCCCCCCCACAGAAATACATAGATACTATATAGATATGCGATGTACATAGATATCAGATATATAGTAGCCAATATTAAATAGAAATGTTTAGAAAATATATATTGTATGTCTCTATTTTATAGATATGTGCAGATGTATCCTATATATACAGATTTATTGTACATCTAGATCTGTGTATATAATGTACAGAAATATATGATACACAGATGGATACGTACATAGATGTACAATATATATTCTAGGGCTAGTTATAGATATACTTATAAATTATATATAATTATGCTACTTCATGTGTCTAACTATATACAGAGAAATACATAGATATGTATTACATGCAGCAGATGTAGATATATAACTTATGTTCATAGACAACATATAAGTAACCTATATTATATATGGATACAGTATATGTAAATATAGAAAATGTAT